TATTATAATAAAAATAAATAAAAGTATATTTATAATAAAAATATAAATATACTATTATAATAAGTAAAAATACGTAATTACTATTACGTATTTATTTAGAAAAAAAAAAACATAATTTTATAAAAATAATTTTATAAAATAAAATATTCATCTATAAAAAATAAAACATATAATAATAAAATAATATAACAAGGATAACAGTCAAAATAAAAAACGTTTTGATTTGTTTAATTTGTTGTAAGGGAAAGAGATGATGCATTTGTGAAGGGTTGGGTAAGAATGACGTTATATATGTAGGTCAAAGAACGAGTTTACAACGCAACCGGAAAGGATCGGGTATATGCCCACCACTGTTGTCGACCGGTTGTCGACGTTGCCCAAGTGACGTCACGTAACACTATTCTCAGTGACGCTACTGCATTACCGAGTCTAAGAATAGAACTCTCGTGTTATAACGAGAATGGAAAAGTGTGTACTACTACTACTACTACTACTACTACTATTACTATTACACACTGATTCAATGCAATTGATTCTTACTTTATACCCTTTTTTACAATGATTAAGTAATGCATGTCCCAAAAGCATGATCAATTATTTCACAGAACTGCTAGGATATTTATTGAACCATCAAATTCGATCGATAATATTGAATGCACAGGTAAATGCAGTTATACAACGTTTCTAAGAAAAATTCTTCAGTTCTCTAAAATTCTATTACTTTCAAATTGTAACACATTGATAGAGTCATGAATTTTTGTTTTAAAAGTATGATCAATTATTTTACAGGAAAACTCGGATATTCATTGAACCATGAATGGTATGCATAAAGAAATGCAGTTACACGTTTCAGAGAAAAACTCTTGAGTTTTAAAAAATTCTAGCATTGGTAACGTCATATTTTTAGGTTTACCATTAAACCCTTTTGGGGGTTACTACCATGTAAAGGTCCTTTATGAACGATTGACCCGTATAACAAGGGTTGGTAACAAAGATATGACATTTACCATTGGCGTGAAAATTTATCGAATTCTCAATAATAAAAAGAAACAACAAAAAAATCATATATACCTATACATATATATTTCTCTAACGAATGTGAATCTATATGTATTTTTTTTTCTGTTTGTTACAGAGTTCGCGTCGAGTATTACGTTAACGAGAATACCTTCAAGGAACGGCTCCAGTTATATTTCATCAAGAACCAACGATCGAGTGAGTTAATACATTCTACGATTCCATTTCTAATTGCTACGCTTATTTTCAACCCAGCCTAAGCACATTTCTTTTTTATAGATGCTAGTATTGATTTGTGTAATCCGTTAATTCATAAAATAACTGGCTATTAAATCAATTCATCTGACAAAATTATATTAAATCAATATTATTGATTGATTCATGAAATAATTATTATTATTGTTATAAAAAAATAATAAATAAATAAATAATAATATTCTATTGTTATAAAAAAAAAATACCAAGTATATGATCGGAGTACCATGCTCCTCAAAATTCCCCTTTAATCTGGCAGGTGGTCATTTATTCAAATTCTTATATTACATATTGTTTATATGACTTTCAGAACATTGCTCATGTGCATAACAGGAACCATCTACCTAATTAATAGAATTTAATATTCTAATTTTCTAATTTTATCATTTTTTTGATCAAACGATGAAATTTATCCAACTTACGATACAATTTATCCATTAACAAATCAATTTATTAATTAACTTTAAACAAATTTTGTATAATAAATATACGACTATGATTAGAAAATAAATTAGAATATTGGGGCCCATTGTAAGGATTTACCAATGATCTATTAATATAAATTCTAATCAGATTTATTCTGAACAACGTAACAAAGGGACCAAAACCATTTGATTGAACTATCAAAGAAATCACTCGGTCGTAATAACGCGACCATCAATGGGCCACGAATTTCAGGCCTAAATTCTGCCTAGATGTGATGTTATATTGCTTTTAGTATTTCACAATATTACCTTCTCTTATCTGTTATCAACGTTTCACCATCATAGTAAAGCATAGAAATCGTCATCGTATTCGCATTTAAACCTTCACCACAACGCGTAAGTCGTGACCAACGTCGATATAAAAGCTCGTAAAATATTTTGATCGATACTAAAGATAATCAAAGAATAGTTTTGGTTTAACTAAGATAGTATACTATTTTTTATGTATCAGTTATATGAACGCAATAAACGCAAAAATACGCAATTTGTGTGTTTGTTTTCGGATTGGTTCCCTTGTTTCGTGACAATAAATAAAAAAAAACCCTTCGTATTTGAGATTTTATTTTATAACTAATAAATTATACTGTATTATTATTTTATCTAATTTTATCTATAGGTAATACTGATTTAATTTACGCAACGTGTTTCTACAATAAATCGAAAACAACATAGTTTAACAAACATATTTTAATACGTTTTTAATACCCTACATCAAAGCTCTAGAATTGAGATGAAATTTGAACCATTTCATTCCTAAATATTTCAAAAATATCTTATCGATAATTGACAAACTGTATTAAAATGTTTGTTTCTCTTATACGAATCGATAAATTTTACAACGTTCTTCGATATTAAATGCCGAACAACCGACCAACTTTGTCTGGCACTTAAACGATTAATCAAATTTTCATTGAATGTTATTTGGAATCATTTTCTCAACCCCTTTCGTACTTCCACCCTCTCTTTCTCTCTCTTATTTCATTTTTAATGAAAACAAGTAAATATGATTAATCTCTCTTTTTATGTTAGTACTATAATGTTCAATTTACCTATTCCCATTGCGTTCACTCAGAAAGTAAAAAAAATCACTCGTTAAAGATCACTCAGCTATCACACTTTTTTTGCAATGACAGTTTTTTTGTGATGACAAGTTGAACTATAATTCTAGTATTGCACTTCACACTTTTGACAAAACGGACAGATTCTATTATCGTAGAATTTTCGTAATGCACATTTCACTGTAAACAAAGTTGAAGTTATTTTGACAACTGACTATGCATTGTATTACAGTTAAAAAAAAAAAATAACAGAGATAATAATTAATTCGTTTAATTGTAACGTATTGAATTACACGGAAATAAAAAAAAAATAAAAAACATTTTGTTCGACGATACATTTCTCTTTATGGGGTGGATGGGACGAGAGTGAAAAATGAAGAGTGTGGAAGGGGAATAAATAATTATTTCGTAACGAGTTCGGCTCGTAATATGAAATTTGATAAATTTGTTATAATTTTTTTATTTTTAATACGAGATATTTTTTAATGGTTATATTTTTTCTCTCTTCAAAAAAAAACATTTTTGTTGTTTTTTTGTTTATTTGTTTGTCAAAAGATTTAAATGCCATGTGAAATGGTGACAATCGTTTAACACTCAAAGATTTACACTTTCGAAAGCTTCTTGCCAGTGGCAGCAGTCAATAGCAGATATCACAAGTTGCAAGTTGCAAGTTGCTTTCTCGTACCTTGCAAGGGCCAATACCAACCTACAAACCTATCTACCTTTACCTAGGTGATATTGATTTCAATCAATATTCCTGTCACTCTTACTTTTCTTTTAAACTTCTATTTTGTTTACCCTTCTCCTCCCTCCTTCTCCTCCCCATTTCATATATATATAAAATCTATTGTTTTTCTATAGAAAAATTCTTTTCTATACATTGACATTGTGTTTCTTTTCTTTATTTCATTTCAGGTTTAAGAATACGACTGGCCAATCTTTTCTTCAAACTTCTGACATGTTTCCTTTACATATTCCGAGTTATAATCGACAACGATCCGACCTTCGCAGCATGGTGAGTCCTCTTATTTTATTTAAACATATAAAAAATAAAAAAATAAAAATATTAATAAAAGTTTCGAGAAAAAGATTTCAAAAAAAAAAGAAAAAAACAATTCCCTTGTTTGTTAAACGAACGAACGTTATAATCAAACCCTTTCGTAGTTGAAATAGATAATAGAAAAATAAAATCATAAAAAAAGGATTAACCCAAAAAAAAAGAAGAGAAAGATTTTTATTCTTTCCAACAGGGAGATTTCATTAAATGCCTTAATCGGCCCTTTAGGACAATTTGGTTCAGAGAATCCTTATAATCGGTAATCTTCATTTCTCGTCTAAAAACTAAATAGGGTACCTAAAGAAAATGATTCCCCCTTCTCCCTCTTTTACGTAGAATCTAGTATAGGCTATTCCCGCTCACGACCTTAACGCAATATTCATGCACGATTACTATACTTTGTTGCAATGCAACATCGCGGTGCAGAATAAAAGTCCGAGATAAGATTGCAGCAGCACCACCAGCATCAGCAGCAGTTTCAGTAGGAAAACGTTTTAACATCTTATTGCTCGACCGTGTAAAACTTCCTTTATTCTTCTACCCCCACTCTCATTCTCTTTCAAACCATATTCCCCAAAGAATTTTCCATTGGTTTTACCTTTCATTTTCTTTTTATTTTTCTAAATTTCTTTTATATTCCCACATTGCTTTTCCTCTTTTTCTTTTTTGTTTTTTTTTTTTCAAAGTTCCTCGTAACACTTCTCATTTTACCCTAAAGAGACGTTTTTTGTGGTTTTTTTTTGTTTTGTCTTTTTCAGTTACGGATGTATGCCAGGAAACAAAACGGAATTTTTAGCATCGCAAAATTTAACCGAAGAAGAATTTCAGGAACATCCAACCATCAATTGGGACGCAATCCTATGGGTAAGAAGACCATTGGAACTTTGGATCGTACAGGTGATCCTAGCTATGGTTTCACTCACGGAAGCCTTGTTACTTGCTTATCTTGGCTACAAGGTACGTGTCTTTTCATTTTATTTTACCTATGCGTTTATGGTTCTTCTCTCTTTCTCTCTCTCTCTCTCACTCTCTCTTTTTCCATCTTTTTGGCTGTTCGTCGTCGTTGCATGGAAATTTCTCTTGTTGCTTTTTTGCTGATAATACAAAAATTTTTATGGTGGTTTGTTTATTTTTTTTTTCATTACAATTTTTATTTGATCCAGTACCACCATATCACCGTAAATATATCGAATTTTATTCGCCAATCTTTTATATTGTATATTAATAAAAACTTAATTTTATTTTAGTTTATATAATAAAATTATAGTTTATATAGTTAAAGTTTATATAATTATAGTTTATATATAATAATAAAATTATAATTTTTATATAATAAAATCATATAGTATATATATAATTAATACTTCATATTAATTATTTAAAATTTTATTATTTATTAAAAATTAAAATAAATTTATTATATTAAAAAATTATATACTATATAACATTCATGTATTATATGCATAATAAATTACATACTATATATACAGGGTGGGTCACCACATTTTACCATCTAGATTTACGTTATCATTATTACGCGTAGCAGACAATGTTTAACATGGAGTTGAATGGCTTTAAAAGGGGTTCATACTGATGGTACTTTTTTTTTTTTAGGTGGACGTGTCAAGAACATATGAAGGTCATTAATGTTTTTTTAAATGGAATCATATATTTTTTATTGCATCATCTGATACTCTTTCATATTATTTACAAAATTATTAAAAAAAAATTATTACTTTAGGAGATATTTTAATTTTTATGTCTATTTACAAAAAAGGTTCAATGTGGACCATTTGCATCAGAACACTTTCTGAATCGAGCAATTAATGACTCATTAACGTTTCTTAATGTATCTGATGTTATTTTCTTGCATTCATTCACGATACGATCCCTCATATCGGCCATTGTAGTCGGAGGCTCAGCGTAAACTTTATTTTTTAAGTAGCCCAATAAGAAAAAGTCGAGGGGCGTTAGATCTGGTGACCTAGCCGGAAAATGAAAAAGTTGTCTCTTTGAGTGAGAGTCCAATTACAAAATTCTAAACGTTTGTAACAGTCGTTTGCGGTCAGTTCTTGAACATGATACATGATATGAATGGTATTTGTGTTTTCTCAGTATGCGTAAAATGCTTTTGCGGCTAATTCCAGCTTGTCTTTCGATTTCACGAGAGCTAACGGATGGATTTATCGTAACTGCGACTAACACTTCCCAAATAGTTTGATAGGACGGGGTAGGCCCATTCATTTTCCGGCTAGATCATCAGATCTAACGCCCCCTCGACTTTTTCTTATTGGGCTACTTAAAAAATAAAGTTTACGCTGAGCCTCTGACTACAATGGCCGATATGAGGGATCGTATCGTCAATGAATGCAAGAAAATAACATCAGATACATTAAGAAACGTTAATGAGTCATTAATTTCTCGATTCAGAAAGTGTTCTGATGCAAACGGTCCACATTGAACCTTTTTTGTAAATAGACATAAAAATTAAAATATCTCCTAAAGTAATAATTTTTTTACATAAATAGGGTAATACTTTTTTTGTAAATAATATGAAAGAGTATCAGATGATGCAATAAAAAATATATGATTCCATTTAAAAAAACATTAATGACCTTCATATGTCCTTGACACGTCCACCTAAAAAAAAAA